ATTATATATATATATATATATATATATATATATATATATATATATATATATATATATTCCCTCGTAAGTATAATAGCAGAGAACACCAACTTAATTAGTTATCTATCATGATTAAGAAACACACACTTACGTACTTTAAATAATTATTAAAATCAGTGCCGTACTATTTTATCGGGCATTATTTGACAGTAATTTTTTCGACTAATGAACACACATATCACGTATTAATTAAACAGATAGCGCAGCTAAGATGTAATTAAAGTCACCTAACATTAAGTATCTTATTATCCCACATAACCCAATTGGGATCAGGGACGGAAAGATCATATGATCATGCATTACAATAGTAACTAAACATGCTGAAAACGTACTAATTCAAGCCTTAATACTTACATATAACATATCACTAAATTATACAGTGTTCATCATCCCCATAACATAACAGGAAACGGGGACGGAAATTAACATAACAATATTAATCTAAACGGGGCGGAAACGTACTGACCTTATAGATAAAATTTATCTGAAAATCCTTGGAGATAATACTCAATACGGACAACTATTTTTTTTGCAAGCTCTTAGAATAATATTTATTTGGTTAGCTTGATTATGTAAAATTCAATGGAAGACATTACCTATTTATATGGTAAATTTTGATCCTAGTCATTCTTGAAAATGTCCTATTGAAGCCAAGTGTCCCATGATGATGATGAATTCTTGCTGCATCACTACTTCTTAGAAGTTCTTTAATTTGTTAGTCACCAATAGGTTTATTAAATATTAAAGAAATTCCTAACGTATTGTCATCCCAATTTAACTTGCCACTTTAGATGCTATTTCTTTATTTTTTTTAACTATAACTCTCACATTCATGTATAGTATTAAATAAATTTAAGTTTTTTTTTTTAGTAAAATTAAAAAGAAATAATTAAGAAGAAAATTCCCAATTTTTGATTGAAAATTTATTCCTTTATAAATAAATTATTCATATCTACTTATCAATTAGACCGGATTTTGGGGCGTTACATATTGTTAAGGTTGTTATCTCATTTACTAAGTCTTGCATGTTCCTTTTGTTTAGCCACGTTTCCAGCCATATTGTTAGTGGAAATCATGGACAACTTACTTCTTTGTAAAAGGCTATTTAAATGCCTTCGTATACTTCAGTTTCAACAAGAAGAAATCTTGGCATTCATTCCTTTCTTTCCTTAGTTAAAATTAACATTTGGTATCCGAGCTGTAAGGAATCCTTCCTTGGGGCCGTGTTGAGTGTTTACAAGTGAGTGAAACACTATTCTTGGAGGGAACTATCACCATGCAGAACAACAATGGAAGTGGAAGTTCTCTAAATCAGTTGTCTATCTTCAAAGGAGTGAATTTTCATTTTTGGAATCTGAAAATGAAAACTCTTTTCAAATCACAAGAACTTTGGAGCTGTGTAGAAAATGGCTTTGAAGATGATGGCACTGAAGAACCGGATCAGAACTTAAGGGAGAAAAGGAAGAAGGATGCAAAGGCCTTGTATATCATCCAACAATCCTTGGATGATGCTGTGTTTCCACGCATTGCAGCAGCTTCTACAGCAAAAGAAGCATGGAAAATACTTAATCAAGAGTATGTGGGAGATAAAAGGGTTATCACCATTCGTTTGCAGTCCTTGAGGAGAGAATTTGAGAACTTACAGATGAAGCCAAAAGAATAAGTCCCAGATTATATCTCAAGGGTGTCTGGGTTGGTTCAGGAGATGAGTACTCTTGGTGAGGAGCTCAAATCCAGTCAAATTGTGGGGAAAATTCTCAGAAGTCTTACAAAGAAATATGAGCATGTGGTTACAGCAATTGAGGAATCAAAAGACCTTGAAACCTACACATTTGAGGAGCTGAAAGGCTCTCTTCAAGCTCATGGAGAAAGGTTAAGCAAAGAAGATGATCAGAAGGATGAAAGGGCATTTCAAGTAAAAGGTGAATTCTCAAACCATCACAGACCTCCACCAAATGCAGGTAGAGGTAGAGGGAGAGGTGGTTTCAGGGGTAGAGGCCGTGGGAGAGGTCAACGGAGTGAGGGAAGAGATCATATCTCTCAAACTCATAAGAACCCTATCAAATGTTATTACTGCAAGAAACCTGGACATAAGGAGGCAAATTGCTGGAAGAAGGAAGAAGATGAAAACAAAGGAGATTCCAAATCAAATTTTGTTGAGCATGAAGAAAAGCTCTTTTTAGCCCAAAATGCTTCAAGTCCAACTGGTGAGAATGAGGTATGGTATGTTGACAGTGGCTGCTCAAATCACATGTCAAGTGCCAAATCTTTGTTCAGAGAATTGGATGATACTATGAAAGGCACCGTAAGGCTTGGAGATGGGAAGCAACTTGAAGTGGAAGGAAGAGGCACAATCGCAATCACTACTGAGCAAGGCAACACTAAGCTTCTATATGATGTACAGTTTGTACCTAAGCTGGCTCATAATTTGCTTAGTGTTGGTCAGTTAGTAAATTCAGGTTACTCTTTAGTATTTAAAGATGAAACCTGCACAATCAGTGATATGAAATCCAAGGAGATCATAGCCAAAATTGAGATGGGAAAGAACAAAATGTTTCCTCTTGATCTGGCAAGACAGGTGAGCAAAGCCTTGATTGTGAAAGGTGATGATAATGCTAAGCTATGGCACCTGAGATATGGGCATTTGAATATGCAAGGACTGAAACTTCTGCATTTCAAGGAAATGGTGAAAGGCTTACCAAGGCTTGGTGAGCTTGAGTTGTGTGAAGGCTGTCTTTATGGGAAGCAATCAAGAGGATCATTTCCAACGGGCAAAGCATGGAGAGCTAGTCAATGCCTTGAGCTTCTTCATGCAGATATATGTGGCCCAATGCAGACTGCTTCTCTTGGAGGAAGTAAGTATTTCTTGCTTATCACTAATGATTTTAGTAGAATGAGTTGGGCATACTTTCTTAAAGCCAAATCAGAAGCATTTGATCACTTTAAGAATTTTAAAGCAATGGCTGAAAAACAGTCTGGATTATATGTAAAATCCTTGAGAACAGATAGAGGTGGTGAATTCATGTCAAATGAATTTCTCAAATTCTGTGATGAGCAAGGAATAAGGAGAGAGTTGACAGCATCCTATACTCCTGAGTAAAATGGGGTGGCAGAGAGAAAGAACAGCACAGTGGTGGAGATGGCAAGGAGCATGCTCAAAGCTAGAGGTGTTCCAAATGAATTTTGGTGTGAAGCGGTAGCCATAGTAGTATACATTCTGAATATCTCACCTACCAAAGCAGTTATGAACATAACTCCATTTGAGGCTTGGCGTGGAATGAAACCGTCTGTAAGTCACTTAAAAATCTTTGGATGTATAGCTTATGCTTTAATAGACTTGAGGTCCAAACTAGATGATAAATCAGTTAAGTGTGTTCTAGTTGGATATGCACCTCAATCTAAGGCTTATAGGTTGTTTAATCCTGTCACTGGCAAAATTATTGTTAGTAGAAATGTGGTGTTTGATGAGAATTCAGGTTGGGATTGGAAAGCAAAGACAGTAAGTAGTGAGGAGCAGCACACCTCAGTAGAGTTTGATGGCTCTGAGGAGGTATCAGATGATGATCCCGCTCCAAATTCTCCTTCAAGTCCTCCCTCAACACCATCATCATCAAGTCAGAGTTCAACAACCCCATCATCAAGCTCATCAGATGAAGACTCAGGCCCAAGAAGATATAGGTCCTTAGCAGATATATATGAAAATTGTGACTTTGCCCTGATGACATTTGATCCAACACACTTTGAAGAAGCCAAATCAAGTAAAGAATGGCAACTTGCAATGAATGAAGAGATCAGATCAATTGAAAAGAACTCAACATGGGAGTTAGTAGATCTACCTGAAGAAAAGAATATAATTGGCTTGAAATGGGTGTTCAGAACCAAGTTTAACTCAGATGGGAGTATTCAAAAGCGCAAGGCCAGGTTAGTGGCAAAAGGCTATGCACAGGAGGAAGGTATAGACTTTGAGGAAACTTTCTCACCTGTAGCAAGAATGGAAACTGTTAGAGTAGTCCTAGCTCTAGCAGCTCAATGGAATTTAAAGGTATTTCAACTTGAAGTAAAATCTGCTTTCCTAAATGGGCATTTGCAGGAAGAGGTTTTTGTAGAGCAACCTCTTGGATTCATAAAGCAGGGTAAGGAAGGCAAGGTGTACAAGCTGAAAAAGGCTTTATATGGGCTGAAGCAGGCACCTCGTGCATGGTATAGTAAGATTGATTCATTCTTTCTTCAAAATAACTTTGAAAGAAGTGAGAATGAACCAACTCTTTATGTGAAAAAAGGGAAAGATATGCATGAGTTTATTATTGTCTGCCTTTATGTAGACGATATTATCTATTTCAGCTCCTCCCAGCGAATGCTTGATGAGTTTAAAGCTGCTATGATGAATCCATTTGATATGACAGATCTTGGAATATTACAATATTTTCTTGGATTGGAGGTGAAACAGAGAGATGATGGAATTTTCTTATGTCAAAAGAAATATGCAGAAGATTTGCTTAAGAAATTCCATGTGCAGAAGACTGAGGCAATGAAAACTCCCATGAACACAAATGAAAAACTTCAGAGAGAAGATGGAACTGTGAAAGCAGACGAGAAGAGTTATAGAAGCCTAGTTGGGGGTCTGAACTATCTCACACACACTAGGCCTGATCTAGCTTATAGTGTGAGTGTAGTTTCTAGATATATGCATTCTCCAACTAAGCAACACATGGGTGCAGCAAGAAGAATAGTAAAGTATGTTGCAGGATCAATAGAGGCTGGAATACTCTATGAGAGTGTAAAATCTTTCAGGTTAACAGGGCATACTAACAGTGATTGGGCAGGTTGCTTAGATGATAGAAAGAGCACATCAGGCTCAGTGTTCAGTCTTGGGTCCGGAGCAATCACCTGGAGTTCCAAGAAGCAAGAAATTGTAGCTCTTTCATCATCCGAAGCTGAATATGTGGCTGCAGGTGCTGCAGCAAAACATGCTATGTGGTGGAGAAAACTACTTAAAGATTTGGGCTGTGAACAGGTTGGTGCAATTGAGGTTTGGTGTGACAACAAATCTGCAATAGCAATGACTAAGAACCCTGCATTCCATGCAAGAACAAAGCATATAGAAGTTCAGCATCATTACATCAAACAGTTGGTAGTTGAAGAGAAAATCAGTCTGAAATTTTGTGGAACCAATCTTCAAATTGCAGACCTATTTACTAAAGCTCTAAACCAAGCAAAACATCAGTATTTCATGGAGAAGATAGGTATGAGCAAGCTTGGATCAAGGGGAGGTGTTAAATTTGATCAAGCTTGAAGTTTCTTATTTACAAAAGCATGCCCATGCACGTGGGAGTTTAGTTCCAGCTTTGATATTTGAATAAGTCTAAATTAGGTTCCTTAATTTTAGGAAGTAGTGCATGCATATCGTTAAGGTTGTTATCTCATTTACTAAGTCTTGCATATTCCTTTTGTTTAGGCACGTTTCCAGCCATATTGTTAGTGGAAATCATGGACAGTTTACTTCTTTGTAAAAGGCTATTTAAATGCCTTCGTATACTTCAGTTTCAACAAGAAGAAATCTTGGCATTCATTCCTTTCTTTCCTTAGTTAAAATTAACAGGCTCTACTCCTTTGAGTTTTTGTATCTTGTGATTTCTGGCTTTGGGGATTGGGGGTTTGAAGAGATTATGTGGAATGTTCGTTGGAGAAGATGACTGGTTCGTTTTCCGGCTACTGTTGAGCCGCCTTCTCAAGGTTTTCGTCGTTGCCGCAGGGGGTCGTCGCGCCCCGACAGGGGTGAAAGCTGTGAGGGGGATGTACGGTTTGGCTTTTATTCCAGCTGGTTTCATTGGACTCCATTCTCCGATCACCGGATTGCCTGGCCGTTGCTGGAGCTGGGTGGGGGGTCAGGGTGGGGGTCTGAGTTGACTGATGGATGGCCTTGATTGGCCAGCCTGTCCGGTTGATTCGACAGATGGGTTGACTTTTTGGTTTCGCGGGCTTCCTATGCGGCACTCGAGTGAAGAGATGACGGACCCTAGGAAAATGGGCTGATCCGGGAACTGGACGCAAACCCTAGTGTGTTGAGGTGCGGATGAAGGCATGACAGGCTGGTCTGTAATCTATGGGCTTCTATCTCTACACGCTGGTGGGATGCTTGTTTACACACTAAGGCCCTGTTTGGTTGGAGGGTTTCGGAGGGGAGGGGAGGAAAGTGGAGGATTTGTGTGTTTGGTTGAAGGAAATATGGGGGAAGGGGAGGAAAGTGGAGGGCTTTCAAAATCCTCCACTTTCTCTCATTCTAAACCCCCCAAATCGGGGTATTTCGGAGGAAACGTGTTGATTAACACAAACTATCCATCTCCTACGTGAATGAACAAGATGTTATAATATAAAAAGGTAAAAAACAAAAAGTTTTGAAAAATTATAAAATTTAAAAATTTAAAAATTTAATATTTAAAAAATTTAAAATTTATAAATTAAAAATTTTAAAAATAAAAATATTTAAAAAATAAAAATTAAAAATTAAAAATTCCAAATTGAAAAATGAAAAATTATAAAATTAAAAAATTAAAAAATCAAATAAAATCAAATTATGACTCACGACCATAGGAGTAATATTCACAATAGTTAGACATATATCTATTTTTTTAAGTAAGCTATCAAATTAAAGTAAATTGCGAAAATATTTTCATTAAACCTTTCCTCCTATTTCCTTCAATCAAACACAAATTTTTATCCAAATCCTTCCTTTCCCTTCCCTTCCCTCCTTGACTCTCCCCTTCCCTCCCCTCCTTTGAACCAAACAAAGGTTAAAGGGATACGCTGCAGTGCTGGGCCGCTGACTGCATGCTTGGACTGCTGAAAATTGTTGGTTACTTGGGTCAAGAGACGGATCTTCACTGCTCCAAAACCTGGGCTCGCATTTGATGGACCTTCAGGTTCTTGGACTGGATTTTGCGGTCTAATGGGCCTTAATTGGCTTGGCGGGCAGCACCTTACGAGAGGTTTTTGACTTGTTAATGGACCAATCCATCTTGGTTACTTGATGTTTTTGATGGCGGGGTTGTCCCGTCTTTTGGACTTTTCCATAAAAAGCCTCTCCCTCTTAATCCCATCACGGGGGTGGGGTGGAGGGGATTGAATGGTTAGATGCTATTTTAGTTAGATTAGCTAGTTCTTATAGTTTTGATGCATTGTAGTAATGTTATTTTTGGGTGACTTTTAATATATTTACCTTTCATTAAAAAAAAATAGAAAGTAGAAGACTTCTTATTGTCCTTGTCATTTGCATAATTGAAATCACAAAACGAGTAAGAAGGATTCCAGAAGGACAGAGGTAGTAATTATTAAAGGCTATCTCAACATAGTAAACACCTTCTTTTTACTGAAACCTTTGACAGATAACCTAACCTTAAATCTAATATCATTTTATTATTCTTTAAACTTAAAGAGCCATTTGCATTCAACTATAGAACAACTAGGTGGTTCAAGAACTTAAGTCCAAGTCTTATTCAGTTTAAGTGAATCAATTTCATTTTGCATATAACACTAATCCGTTTCTTAGATTCTCTAGGTGAAAGGGCTACTTCACAGGTTTCAGGTTCATTCAATCAAGTGTTTCAAACACAGAGAAAACAAATAAAGAAGTATCATATGAATGAAAAACATAATCTGACACGCTATCAACATAATCAGATAATTAGTTAAACAGTCATTCTCAATAGGAAATTCTTGCAATTCACTACTATCAGTAAAATCAAACTCAACAAACACATCATACAAACCTTCACCATTATTATTAGATTCAATGGATTGCTCCACCTCATTGGATGTGGAGGGGGTTTCATGCTCAGTGTTAGTGGAATCAAAAACATCAAAAGAGTCATTATCATCAAATAGAGGGTTAGCAACAATAGGAATGACCTTCACCTCACTAGGAGAGGTGGTGACACACTCAGGTTCCGAACTTGTAACAGGTTTGACTAAGTAAAGAAAATCAAACTCATTCAACACAACATTCATACTAATAATGATCTTAAACTCAATCGGATTCTTATCCCAGACTCTATACCCCTTTACCCCTTCTGGGTAATCTAGGAAGATACATTTCGTAGATCTATGATAAAGTTTGTCAGTTTGTTGGCGTACAGAGGCAGCACACCCAAAAACCTTCAAGTTTGATAGATCAAGAGGTTTATTTGAAAACACATACTCATCAAGGCACTTACCCTCCAAGGGTACAGAAAGTGGCCTATTGATTAAGTAGGTTGCAGTGTTCACTGCCTCTCCCCAAAACGTCTCGGGGAGACCAGAAATAATCAGCATACTTCTAACTTTATCAAGAAGGATCATATTCATTCTCTCAGCCAAATCATTTTGTTGTGAAGTATAGGGACAATTTTGTGTCTCCTAATCGCACACTCAATACACAACATATCCATATTCTTATTGCAAAATTCTAAATCATTGTCAGTTCTAAGGGTCTTAACCTTACAGTCAGATTGGTTTTCTACCAGAATTTTTCATTCTTTAAACTTGACAAGTACATTAGATTTGTGTTCTAACAGACAGATCCAAACTTTTCTAGAAAACTCATCAATGATAGACTAGAAAATACCTCCTACCCCCATGGGTAGGGACACTGGCAAGACCACATTCATTAGCAGGTATGTAGTCAAGGACAGAGGTAGACTTAGGTTCACTGCGATACGTAGAGGTAGGAAATTGTACCATATGGTGCTTACCCAACACACAACATTCACTGAAAGGTATAGATGGCACAGAATCATTACCAAAATAACCAGATTTTTGTGAAATGTTCAAACCCTTATTACTCATGTGACCAAGTCTATGGTGCCAAAGAATAGACACATAATAAGCAGAGTCATGAAAAGGTTTTGCATGAACCACATACAGGTTATTTTCTTTCAAGGCTTTTTCAAGATTTTCATGCACCATTACCCCATTTACCCTCAATCCCACATACCTCAAAAGCACCAACTGAGAATAGGTAGTAATAAGGGATACACGTATAGGGAATCAAAATACTAAACATAAAATACTTGTTAAGTTTGGTTACGGAATATTAAAAATACTTATTTTACAAAGGTAAAGATCTACTTAAATCTTTTGAGTGATTATTTGTATATCATGATAACTGTAATTGCTAAAAATTATTCAACTTTACTTAAAATATAAGTTTGAACAATTTATTTGAATAGTTATTATAGATTTTATTCGAATGGTTATCATGGAAATAATACTACGTAATTATTTTGCAATTTTTATAAAATGACAAGTATATAATTGTAATTATAATCCTTCCAATAAAAATTGTAATTATAATAATTTTGCTACTAAAAGAACAACACTGAAATTAATGATAGTCAAACTATATTTATTCATTTTGGCCCGCGCGCTATCCCACAACCCGTGCGGACCAACCCTCATAACCCGCAACCCACGTGAGTGACCCACGGCCCGTGAATTAATCGGATCAGAAAATGACAACCCTAACCCACCACTAAATGAATTGAAACGGGCCGGCCGCGAGTTTCAGTCCATCTTGAATCTTGATGGCTCTACTCTGCTAGTCTGATTCGCCATGTATAAGTGGAAAGTAACTCGATAATACAAGCATAGACAGGTTTAATGAACTTTAATCTCATACCATCAACATTCAATTGTTAAATTTTATTCTTGTCTGATCCCCCGAACCCACCACTACATAAAAGTTAAAACTAAAATACGTACAAAAAAACATCACTTTTTAGGAAATACAGGAATTATGAAAATGTAGAAGACCAGACTCATTCAATTATTCAGCAGCAGCAAAACAGATGTGGGCTTGTCTTTCACAGTTTCACTCATCAGCTAAGGGCACGGCCTCCGCCTGCATTCAAAAACATGGTGCAATCAATCAAGAGGATCAATGAACGTTTACACAGTCCGTACAAATGTACTACTACTAATATTCCAACAACATCAACAATAAAAACAATAAATTATTCAGGTGAATTAACTCACCAACTTGCTGTATTTGAGAGCATAAAACATTTCGAGATAGCGACGGGTTTCAAGCCGATCAAGCTTAGAAACATGCTTCCAGAATCCATAAACAGCAGCCAGTGTCAACAACCTGTCTGAATAGATTTGCCATGTGTACCTAAATAAAAAACAAACATTGTATAATCATCAACTTGTACTAAATAAATTAAGCCTAATCACACTTCACTTCACATGAGTTTGAGTTAAAGTACATTATCCATGAATTTCTCTAACATCCTCTGATCATAAACTAACAAAACATCACATAAAATATCGGGTTATTTCTGTAGGTTGTCAGGATAGAAACCTAAGTCTTAATATGATATGACCATAAGCCCAACTCATAAACAATAATCATGGTGTAGGCCTCTATGAAAAAGTACATAGTCCGGACAAAATACCAAATAGGGAGAATATGTCCCTTATGAAAAGTACTAATAAAAGAATAAAATTTAGCTATGGTTTTCTTTTAGAAGCAGGAGTCCCCTATTTTCATGAAAACAAAATGATAAGAAACCAACATGTAACATATTGGGTTAATCCTACACTCCTACTCCTATCTTATATGTGTTGTGTTGTTGCCTGTTGAGCTTATATAAAGTCAAATATTTAAAAGTTCATGTGTCAAAACTTACTTCTCCTGGATACGTTTGAGGCCGCCAATTGAAATGGTCTCCCAATAGGAAGGATCTTTCTTGCACGTCTCAAAGAAACTGACAAGCAGCTCAGCAGCTTGATCACCGTTGTACGGGTCAATATGGAAACCGGACTTCCCGTGAACAATGATCTCAGCGGGACCGCCTTGGTTAGTTGCAAAGGTAGGCAAACCACACGTCATGGCCTCGACCACAGTCAACCCAAATGCCTCATACAAAGCCGGCTGAACAAAAGCCCCACGTGTGTCGCATATGTATCTATATAGCTCTCCATTCCTCACGCGGTTCATCTGTGAAGAGATCCATCTGAACTGTCCATTCAGGTCATATGTCTTGATAAGCTCATGCATCTTCCTCATCTCTGCTTGCTCCTCCAAATCTTTTGATTCCTTCCTCCTGTCCCCACCAACCACGACAAGATTTGCGAGTTCCCTTAGCTTTGGGTTCTTGGCATACCATTCAACTAGTCCGCTTAGGTTCTTTACACGGTCCAACCTTGCCATGGTGAACAATATGGGCTTGCTCCGATCCTTCAACACACATCTGTGTCAATCATGTATTATACATCAGTTCAGACTGATAAAAAGGATAATCTAAAAGTCTTTATCCTATGTCTGCTTTGTAGTTTTATATTTGTTTGATGTGAGATGGCCTGATAGAAAATAGTGTTAAGAGCCTCATATCAAACAAGTAAATGTAAAATGACGGGGTTAATACCATATTGTGTTACACTAGTTAAGTGATTGATAAAAAGGGTTGAGATCCATCAACTAGGTCATAAGGCACTTAGACCAAATCTCACTCAAAGATTGATCTCAAAGCGTTTGATCTCATTGTATTATCCCATCATTTTATTATTACTTGTCCTATGTGGGACTCTAACATCCACCCTGGCACCCTCAGGTGAGCAGCCAGTCTATTTTAAATCTAACCGGTTGCCAACTTGCAATTTGACTCCAAATGAGGTTTTAGGTAGTTAAGGTGTTACTCCAGTCCAGTCTATAAGCTAGTTCAACCCAAAATCTTATTAACCCATGATGCATCATTATAACTTTACATGTACGGTGTTCATAACAAGAAGGGATATATGTATATTATACTTACAGGTGTTCCTCGTTCTCAACATCACTGAACAACAACTCTTCAATTTCGGGATGAAGGGCAGTTAGCCTCTTCTCCTTTTCAGAGTAGGAGAAATACAAGTTCATGTCAGCTCCAGGAGAAACGATGTTGAATTTGGGGTCAAAAACGTCAATTCCATGGACAACTCTGTAGAGTCCAGGCATTGTAAATGCTTGGTGGCTCTCATACTGTCCAACTGTATCCTTGCTGGAAGCAAAAGAAAAAGAACTGTTAAAGAACTTTATTTGGACACAGTTGTAATTAAGATATTGGACAGC